CTTTGTATCCTGCAATTTTGTCATATTTATTACTTTTAATAGTTTTTTAATAGAATCTTTAGGATATCCTACATATAAGATCATAGAATACGGAAACAAAGATAACTTTACTTTTTGCTTTCCAGTTTGGATGCCTTATATATTTTTTTTCTTCCCTTATTGTTGTGGCTAGAATACCCAGTACTATGTTGACTACAAGTAGCAAAAGCAGGCATCCTTGCTTTGTTCCTGATCTTCAATGATCTTAGTCTTTCACTATTGAGTATGATGTTTGCTGTGGATTTTTCATATGGCTTTTATCATGTTGAAGCAGTTTTCTTCTATTTCATTTGCTGAGTGTTTTACCATGAAAGTGTGTTAAATTTTGTCACTTTTTTTGTGCATCAGTTGAAATTATTATGTTTTTTCTCCTTCATTCTGCTAATGTGGTGTATTACATTGATAAGTTTTTAAAATTATTTTTTGAATTGAAACGTATTGATTGTATACATTTATGGGGTACAGTTAGATTTCAGTACATGTGTACAACGTGTACTGATCAAATCAGGGTAGTTAGCAAATTCATCATTGCAAAACTTTATTGTTTCTTTGTGATGAGAACATTTAAGCTCCCCTCTTCCAGGCATTTGAGAACATACAATACATTGTTAATTGTTGCTAATTGCACTACTGTACACCACTAGAACTTATTTTTCCTACATAGCTGTAATTTTGTATTCTTTAAACAACCTCTCACTAAACCCCTCCCCTTTCCAGTCTCTAGTAACCACAGTTCTACTCTCTATTTCTGCTTAGCTACCAGTGAAAAACTGCTTTTTGATATTAACGACGAAGAAAATAACATAAAAATATACTTCTAGAAGGTGTTCTAACAAATTCCAAATCTGGTGAGTTACTCCTGGGAAAATTCACAGTCAAGAAAAGATAGCGATCCTTCTCCAGTCCCTAATAAGAGCTGCGAAAATCGTGGGCGATGCATGGATTTCTTGGTCGTCTCCTTTGAAACCGCAATCTGATACGTCTTTTATAGGCACCGAACGAACGAACGCCTGGACGGGCCGGTTGTTCTCAGGCTGTCGTCTGCGCCTGCGCGGGCCTATCGCGACCTATGGTAAGAGAGGCCCGGATGGAGGACCCTGAGACGCGTCGTTGCCATGGCAGCCGGCTCCTGCCTGCCCAGGGAGCAGGTGCTGGGGTCTCTCTTGCCTCATTGTCAGAGCTTAGAAAGAGGAGAGGAGAAGTCGCCCGGCCATCTCTGTGACCCCAGCCGCTGCATCTTACACAGGCAGGAGGGGATATAGAGGGAAAGAGGGAAGGATGATGTGGATATATTTATGGTGGGAGAGAGGGTAAAGGGATAAACGTCTGATATAGCTGGGAGAAAAGGTGGGTATGGAAGCAAGGGAAGAGTCCTCCCCGTTGGCTCCTTGTCTTCCCAGGTCCGGGCACTGGCGTGGAAGCCAGGCAACGTCTTGCTTCAGTGTGTACGAGGGAAACCACTTCGAGGGTAGCTGAGACTCTCCAAATTGTTGTCATATTCTTTCTCCCCTCAAAGTTCTCGAACGTGAAAAGTAATAATTTCATCCCTGGGAGAAAAAGTCACTCCTGAAATGTTAGCTTCCATTTAGTTGGTGGTACCTTGGGATTGTGGATACAAATTAAAATTATCACCTAATGTTTGTAAAATATTATTTATCATCATACTTTGCGACAGATTATGTTTTTAAAAAATTTACTCATGGGATCACAGTCTTGGCAGGACGCAGCAGGAAGAATGGGCCAGGTGGTTTCATGATGTTATGGATTAGTTTTCGCTTAAGTCCATATTTTATATTAAAAGGCTTTCTCTTTGACATTCTTTCTATTCTTAGATTTTAAACTAGCATGTGTTTAAAAGGCTATGAGGTAAGACTGAAGTCAGTGAGTTAGATTAAGCCATTTTTGAATATTCTGAGTCCTGGAAGAAAGTTATCAAATTTATGTATACATGTGAACTTGGTTTAGACTCATAGTGAAAGATCTGCCGTCACCTACCCACACGGGATTTATCAGACACTCAGGGGGAAGGAATTAACTTCTGTCTCTTAGTACAGTTCCCTATTAAGAGGGTGGGTCGGCTCTAAGCCACTTACATAGATTTTTACGGATGATAAATTTTAAAATTTAAATGTGTGAACCTCTTAGTAATAAAATAGGGAGTAAGTGTTAGATGATTTGGTTCGTGTAAGATGTATTTTTGTTCCAGCATGTTGACTGTGTACCATATGGATAAGTACTCTGGAGATCAGGATTAGAAGAATTGAAACTGTGACGCATTTGAAAAAGGCTTAAAGGAGTTGGTAACAAGAGTTTATGATTTATGTTCTTGGTTTACTAGAGAACCAGTCATAAGTTTTTTTGAAGTTATAGGAAAAAAATTACACTTCATATTCCATGCAACTTCATTTTCTTCTCAGTGTTACTTCAACTGTGGCTTTTTTCTTTTAAAGTATGGCATAGTAGTATGACTTAATAACACCTAATATATTTAATTTGTAATCATTTTTTATTTATCATACTGATTGTATGCTTTAGTTTTAAATTTGAGTTTTCACATGGGTGAAATTCTTTGTAAATGATAAAGCATACCTACTAAAGTCTTCAGGAAACCATTTATAAGTTCAGAACTATGTTTATTATACAATTAAGTGAAAACACTGAAGAGTTCCAAAGACATCTTCTAACAGTTATGTAACTTAAACATCTTAAAATAATAAATAATAAAATTCAGCGTCCCTGGTCTGAAAAGAAAGTTTATTATCCCAAGCCATTGTGATTGTGAAAAATGGTATTATTTATGTAAGTATTTTGGGTTACAATGGATTTTAGTTTATTCTACATAATTCTCGGTTCCCTTACTTTTAATTGATAGATGGGTAGAAATAGCAGCTTAAGTCATTTAGCCTGTCTTGCAACTAGGCAGTGGTAAATAAACTTACTCTGAAGTATTAATTTGGTTTCTCCAGGTCATCTCAAAATATTATTGTCTGCTTTAGAAATTATTGAAGACTTATTTTTCAGTCTTTTAAGAAGGTCCATTTTGTATTTTTTGGTTTAAAATAAATATCTAGAACTAATTATAGTCCAACTAACATTTTAGAAATAATAATAATTATCCAATCGGATAATTAAGTTGATAATTAATATTTAATGTACCTAAAGCTAACTTTGTCTTGAGAGGTAAAGAAAACCCATATCAAGAACTCTACAAAGGAAAGATGTTGTTTAAATGAAACAGACTTCAGAACATTTTTTTTAGGTCTTGAATTTAATTATTCAGACACTGATCATTTATTTCAGATTAAGGTTTCTTCTCAGGGTCCCATGCATTTGCTTTTAAATACCCTTGCTCTCATGAGCTGGCAGTTACCTACTAATTTTTGTCTTATAGAATAAGAGACACAGCATTAAAAGAAACCTTAAGGGTCTATCTAGCTCAACTGTTTCTCTAAAGCTTCAATGTTCTTTAAAATATTCTTGCCACAGTCATATTCTGGGCTTCATATAAACATTTCCATTGACAGGTAACACAACACTTCTATAGGTAGCTCATTTCACTTCAGGACAAGTTTGAAAATTAAGTTCTTTCTTACGTTGTGACAAAATTTGCCCCTGAATTTCTAGCCCTTGATACTAGTTTCATTCCTTGAAATTACACAACTCCATTACTCCTTTACATGGCAGTCATTTAAATTATAAAGCACTTGTCATGACACCTGAATTTTCTCTTCTTTAGGCTAACATTTCCAGTGTTTTCCAGTATTCCTCCGCATCTGGTTTTAAGGCATTTTACTCTTCTTCCCTTTTCTTCTCCTTTATCCTCCTTTCTGCTGGTTTGCTAACCTCTGAATAATTTCGGTTTGTTTTTTGTTTTCTAAAGTGTAGCACAAGAATGTGAACACAGTACTTCATATATTATCTATATGTCACCCTCAGCTTCAGCCTTAGAGCTCCTTTTTTGGTATCCTCATCATTCTTTTAACTCATTCATTTCAAATCATTCTTTAACTCAGTAGAGTTTAGTAAACTCTACTATTCACTAAAACCTCTTAAAATGTTTTTTTACACATAGTACAAGAAGCCTTATCTTTTCACTTATGTACTGCTTGTACAGTTAATGGAAAAATGTTTTCCCACCTACTCTCTCTACCCTTTGTGAACTGTGGGAAGAAAAAATGTAAATCTCACTTTAGTAAAATTGGGGTCAGGTTAGTCTGGGCAAAGGTTTGGGGAGAGTGAAGTGAAGCTAATGGCTAAACAAAGCTTGTGGATTATTTACTAATTCAGGCATAATATTTCTTGTTTTGTATCTTTAAAAATATGTCTAGGTCTCATGTGTTCTTGACATCTGTACTTTCTACTTCCATAATGAATTTTAGGCAACTTATTCTTGATGTAGGAGCAAGAGAAGGCAGGTGTAGAGACAGGGACCCAGGACTTTAGGGCCCCAAAGATCTGATTTTCTACACTTCTTTTGAAACTGGACCTAGAATTCTACATATTGTAATTATGCCATGTAAATTACTAGAAGGATTGAGAAACTGAAGATGGGAATTATAATTGTTTTTATTTGAATGTGAGAAAATGTGAGTGGGTGAGACTAAAAATACTGAGTTATGTGCTCTGACCTGGACAAAGAGTTTTAATGATTGGCGGAGGATGTGGAGAATCCTTCTCTAAGCCTCAGATAGTCTCCTTATCTACCTTTCTTAGTCTTCTTGTGGATTAGGGTTTTGGGAATTGGGGGATGTGGGAGGGTCAATAGGAATGTCCACTTATGGATATGTCTTGCCATTGCAAATCTTTCTTTTAGGGTATATAAAGATACATGTTTATTTTGAACATTCCATGTTTTGTGTTTTTGTGTGTTAATTAGCTTACCTTTGATATTAATTTTCGCACCCCATTCCTCCTCTAAAGTGGACATAACATACCTTTATCTTTTAAAATCTCACAGCATTATTCTTTAACAAACAGAAAATGAATGAAAATAAGGAAACTGATTCAAAAGAAAGTGAAGAATATGAAGATGACTTCGAAAAGGATCTGGAGTGGTTAATTAATGAAAATGAAAAAAGTGATGCCAGCATAATAGAGGTATACATAAATTGCCAACAGCATTCATAATAATTACATTAACAAAGTGCTTTGCAGTTCTTGAAGGTTTTTACATATATTATCCCATCTAAATCTCACAAAATTCCTTCGATGTGCATCGGACAAGTATCATTATTCCCATTTTAGAGATGAGAAAATTGAGGCATAGAGAGTTTAAATAGTGTACACTAATGCACATGGCTAGTGAGAGAGCAAGATTAAATTAACACTTAATAAAACTAAAATAACTTTAAAACTATAGTTTAAATAATACGAAAAAATAATAAAAGCATGTTTATTGCATCAAAAGGAAAAACAAATACAGTTAATTCCTACTTTATACGAACTTGAGTAAAATCATGGAGTTATGCTTTTAATATAAGTGAAAAATAAAGTAAGTCCTCAAAAAACATGCTCTTTCAGATAATATTTGAAATTTTAAGAATGAGTTAGCTCTTCTGGGGAATAAATATAGAGAAAGAAGTAAAGATTCAAAGACTGAGCCATACACTTGGGAGAGCGTGGTGCTGACAACACCAAGTCAAGGGTTAAGATCCTCTTATCGGTCATCTTTAAAAAAAAAAGACTGAGCCATAGAAATGCTTCAAGGAAAACGTGGATCCACTAAACATGAACATATACTATTTATCAGAGGTGTAGAAGGGAAATGAACCAGTTCCTGGATCATGGTAGGTTCTTTATCTCTGTCTTTACATATATATATATATATATATATATATATAAAATGTATGTATTTCTATATTTAATGTATATGTCTGTATATATGTATATACATAAATTAGTGTCAGTAAGTAGCAAAGTTATGAGGAAAAGGACTAAGACTGGAAGACTTTAGAGTCCAAGACTAAGACAGACGACTTTAGAGGAATAATGATCAGAATAGTTTCAGCAGAAACCAGTTTAAGGGGATTAAGGTAAAGAATATGAAGAAACAAAGGCAGCAGGTTCTACATCACATACTTCTCTTAGTTCCATCTTGCTTTCTTATGCAATGGAGAAGACAAATGGGATAGATAGTATTTGAAAAAGCAACAGAGTCAACAAATGAATATTTTTCTTTTTTTTCCCCCCCTGACCGGTAAGGGGATTGCAACCCTCGGCATGGTGTGGTCTGCACCACACTCAGCCAGCAAGTGCACCGGCCATCCCCATATAGGATCTGAACCCACAGCCTCGGCGCTACCAGCGCCGCACTCTTCTGAGTGAACCACGGGGCGGGCCCCAAATGAAGATTTTTCTAAGATGACTTTTAAAAGGGACTTTTATGCATCTTAACAGAAAAATAATCAGAATGAGTAGAGGCAGAGGTACACAGAACGGTAGAGTTAAACCAAAGTCTCGTAACTGGAAGGGTGTGAGATCCAAAGCACAGGGTGATAGAATTAGACAAGTAGTAATGATTACTCAATTGTTTCACTTTTTGATTCGTTCAACAAATATTAATGTTCACCTATTGCCTGTCAGAGTACCATGTTCTAGGTACTGGGGATACAGCAGGGATCAAAACAAATTGTTCTCATGAATCTTACCTATTTCAGTGGATTAATAACCTCTTCCCTTGAAGCTGGTGAGAAAAAGAATGACAGAGCTAGAGATAGGGAAGGGGACAGAGGAATATTTCTTTATAAAAAGTGGGTTTTAAAAAGAAAAGAAGTGAAAGCCAATGACAGATACTGTAGGAATAAACCAGAGAATCAAGGCTAAAAGGAACAATTGCAATGCAGAGATTGTAGTTAAGTCATAGTGATTTGGCAGTTATTTTAACGAGCCAGGTTTACTTGCTTATCAGACTTGGATAGCAATCTTGTGCAGGTTAGGAAGTGAAGGCTGTCAGAAGAGATGACATGTGAATGAGTAAAAGAGGAAAGCGATTTTAAGGGGTTGACGATAGCAACATATCGTAGCTCCTATAGAACTGCTTTAGAAGAAAGAGAATTGTATGAGAACGAAAAAAAAAATATATTTTGTAGGGAGAAAGTGTTTGGTGGGTGAGGATGTATGTATGTGGGAAAGATGCTAGAAAAGAAGCCTTTAGTTAGAAACAGCGCATGTGGAGCAAGGTTTTGTTACGTGATAATGCTGGTTTATGATTCATATGTAATTAATTTTTTTTTAAATGTAAGCTAAGTTGTCTGTTCGTAGTTAGCATGGATTATTGAAGTCTCTGAGCATAGTTGAGGAAGGGAAATCTAATCTAGAGGTAAAAATTGACGTGGAAATTGTATATAGGTCTTGTAGATGATAGTGACAATAATAGTCTAAAAAGATTAAAAGAACCTCAGATGATTAAGCCTTGACTAAAGGGCTCGACCTTGTAATGGTCTGGGGATGCTTTCATGCAGAATGCAAATATTACAAGGGGAAAACATCTAGAAAGTTGTTGATGCATTAGCATAAAATTTTTTAAATAAATAATGTAGCACACACCTAGCAATATCAAATTCAAATTTAGAGTTAAATTTTCTCTGAACTATTGTCACATGTATTTCTCTTGGAGTGCTCATAAACATGAATTAGGGTATTATTAGATGAAGTATGAGCAAGAAGCACTTAAGTTTTCTGATTCATAAAATAAATTATATAAGTGGGAAAATCCATTTTGGATTCCCACATATAAATGAACAAAGAGTCTCAATTTTAACTAAAAAATAGAATCTCATATCTTTTTTTATTTAGATGGCTTGCGAGAAGGTAGAGAATGTTAACCAAGAACTAAAAGACAATAAAACCGAAATAGAATACACCAAACAGCTTTCTGATCCTGACAAATCTTTGAAGGATGAGGTTTCACCAAGAAGAAATGACTTCATTTCTGTCCCAAGTATTCAACCTTTGGATCCTGTATCAGATTCCGATAGTGAAAACTCTTTCCAGGAATCCAAACTAGAAAGCCATAAAGACCTGGAAGAAGAAGAGGATGAGGAAGTAAGGAGATATATTATGGAGAAAATTATACAAGCTAACAAGCTTCTACAGAATCAAGAACCTGTGAGCGATAAAAGGGAGCGAAAACTTAAGTTCAAGGATAAATTAGTTGATCTGGAAGTTCCTCCATTAGAAGACACTGACACTTACAAAAATTATTTTGAAAATGAAAGCAATATATCTGGAAAACTGTCACAGTTATGTATTTCCAATGAATTTAGAAAAGAAAATGTGCTTCTGTCACTTACTGATGGAAGCTGTGAAGAAAACAGGGATAGGAGGATACTGGTAGAGAGAGATGGAAAGTTTGAACTTCTGAATTTACAAGACATTGAGAGTCAGGGGTTTTTGCCCCCCATTAATAATACTAATAGTACAGAAAGTGAACCCCAGCAGTTGTCACCCAGATCTTCCAACTCATCTGTCAATAGTGTCAAGAAAGAAGAGCCTGCAGCAAAGATTCACGCTATCACGCACTCAACAGGAGAGCCGCTGGTTTATATCCCTCAGCCACCACCCAACTCCAAGACTCGTCCAAACTCTGCTGCCAAGTTTGATAGAAATAAAGGGAATAGGAAGTCTAATCGTAGAGCACAGTCTGCAAATATATCTCCAGTGACCTCAACATATTTTCTTTCCCCTCGACAGAAAGAACTACAAAAACAGCTAGAACAAAAGAGAGAAAGGCTAAAGAGAGAGGTGAGAACATAAGTGGGCATTCTATTGAAAGTAGAGCATGTTTTCATGTTTTATAAATGCAATAGGAATTGAGATGGTTGCTTGAAGTACTGGAGATATTTGTTTGCTTGCTTTATTTTTCTGTTGTGAGATTAATTGGTTAAGTGTTAAGAATGTGTACTTATGGAATAAGCACTGTGATTGCCTTGGTCCTTTCTTGTAAGGATCACAAAACAGTAGAATGATCTGTGTTAGAGCTAGAGGAGATCACAGTGGTGATTCGTCTGATCCTTTTATTTTAAAGGTGAGACTCAGAGAAGGTAAGTAACTGCTGAAAGTAGTCTTGATATGAGACTGGTGAAAATCAAATGTCAGATAGAAAAATGAAGGATTTAGGAGGCAACAGATAGACTTGGATTATAATTCTTGTACTCATGTGTGTGTGTTTCATATATCTTCTATCCCTACAATTCCTTGATTTCAGGGATTTTAGTTCTGGGTTAAGAATATAGCCTAATATTTTTAATGAAATGTCTCCAAAATGCCATATGAAATGCCAAATTAAATTTATTTTGCTTTTTGTGTTTGCTCTTGAATAAAACTCTATGTGTTTTATAATTGAAAATTCCAGATATTTAAACTAGTGAGTTTTCTTTAAATTACTTATATCAGTGCCCCTATTCTCTGTTTTACGGGATATCTGATAGTAGTAAGCTGAGCCATACAAAATGTCTTAACTGTAAATATCAAACCTCAGCAGAATCATAGCTTAATAAAATTTTACAATTGGAAGGGACCTTAAAGATCACTTTACAAATAAGAAAACTATAGCCTAGAAAGTTCAAATAACTTTATCAAAGTCACTGAACTTGTTGGTAGCAAAGTTGGAATCAAAATCCCAGTTCTCTGGCATCCATTGAAAAATGGTGTGTTTTCCATTTTATGTGGGAAGTTATCAGAAAAATTTCTGGCATTTAAATCAGGAATTCACATTAGCAGAAAAAGGTAAAAAACAAAGTCATAAGTATTTGTAATTTATAATACACTCAGGCAGTAATCTGGAATGGTGCAGGCTTACAGAGCTTTGCTCACTTGGCCACTAAAATCTGAACTCTTAACAGTCAAACCCAGTTTACTTGGTTCAGGTATAAAACAATACTTGAAAGTATCAGAACTTTACAATAATACAAAATAATTCGTTGAGAATGACTGAACTATATGTTTGCTCTACACAAACGTGCGTGTCTGTTTTTCTGTTTTTTACAAAAGTTATGCAGGGGGTTTTATATAAATGTCAGTGCCTTTTCACTAATGAACTGAAGGTAATCTTTAACTGTTATGAATGCTGGATAGTTCTGTATTCATTTTGTTTCTCTTTTTTGAGTGTCACACACTCTTTGTTCTGGGATATGCTTTTGTCATGTCAGGATCCTCAAAACTAAATTTCCCTTTGCTCAAGGCGTGGTCTTTAAGTGCTAAGGCTTTTAACAGTTTTTAGTTGGTTCAGGAGAAGGCTTTGCTTTCCTTTTGTGCAATATTTGCTGGGTTGGTCTGCTGTACTCTGTCTTTCTAACCTACGTGCATCATTTCAGTGTTCTTTTTGGCAACTGCTTTAACTGTGCTTTGGCCGATACCTTCTGTGTAATATACCTAAATATGATTCCTTTGGAAAGATACCATCTTATCGTACTATATGTATTTATGCAAGGCATCCAGAGTTCTTTTTTGTGAAAAGGAAATGTGTAAATAAATGTAAAATTTGATCTTTAATAATGCACATTTTATATAATATAGGCTAGCACTCAGAAAATAGTGTATAGGTATTTCTAAAGATAATTTATGCTTTGAAAGAATTTTTCCTTTTCTCTCTTCCTTTTGTTCAATGAAAAGGAATTAGAAGGGCTTGCTATATTGCCAAAATGTAAGGTTTGTACTTTGAATTTCATTATTTGAAGAAAATTAAAGCATGGACTTATGTAATTAAGTTCATTCAAATGATGGAAGTTTAGTATTGGAAGAGACTTAACAGCTTGTTAATACAACTTCAGTTTATAGATGAGAATACTAAGACAGAAGTTAAGTGCCTTGCTCAGACTGACAGAGTATGATCATCACAGAAGGATTGTTATTCAGATCTCATAACTTCTGGCTTAGTGCTATTTATACCATGCCATGCTGTTTTGCTCCCAATAACTATTTTATAGCTCTATATAACTGATTTAAGTACATTGCTTCTAGTTTAAGTAACTCCCTTTTATAACATTAGCTGAATAATTCATATCAAAAATTTTTACTTTGTTCTTAGTAGTTAACCAAGTGTCTAAATATTTTTCTGATAGAAAAAGCATTATTTTTGTATATAAACTATTGGAAAAATATTTTTAAACATTTTAATAACAAATTTCAAACACTTAACTCCTATATCCCATCACCCAGATTCAAAAGTCATTGAGATCTTGGCATATTTACTTCATCTCCTCCTCTTTTTTGACTTAAATATTTTTAAAGCAAGACCTAACCAACATATCATGTCTTATTTATATACTTCAGTATATATTTTTAAATGTTGCAGCATTTTCTTTTATAACCACAATGCCATTTATCACAATTAACAAATGTTCGATAATGTAAAAATGTTTAAGACATTTACTTATAATGCCTCTAGAGTGTGTTTTTTTCTATGGTGTAGCTACAATTTGATGAGTTTAATACCAAAAGTAAACTAGGAAGTAGAAGAGAGATCCAAGGTATTCCTGAATTGTATATCTGTGTAACAGTGGACTTTATCTGTACAGTTGAATTTATCTGAAAGATCTTCATTCTTTCCCCTTAAGAAAATTAGAGGTCCTATTTTTTAAGGAGGCCCACTTTTCAGATGGAAAGTTTTAGGGGCAGGGAATACTAATTTCAGACCTCAAGATATATCTCTCTACCCTGACAACTCATATACAATTTAATTAATTTTTGATTAGTATTTTTTATATTCTTTCCACACTAGGAAGAACAACAGAAAATAGAAGAAGAGAAATTAAAAAAAAGAGAGAATGACATGGTATTTAAAGCATGGTTGCAAAAGAAAAGAGAACAAGTCCTAGAAATGAGAAGAATTCAGCAAGCAAAGCAAATTGAAGATATGAACAGTAGAGTAAGTACAACTTTCTATGAAAACTAATTTAATACAGATATTAAAGCTGAACCTACTTATACAAGGGAGTCTGAATATCAGACTAAGAATCTATGAGAGAAGTAGAAAAGTGGTCCAAGAACTACCTCTGCAAAAGATGCAACACGCAAGGGGCCGGCCCGTGGCTCACTTGGGGGAGTTTGGTGCTGATAACACCAAGGCCACGGGTTCGGATCCCTATATAGGGATGGCCGGTTAGCTCAGTTGGGAGAGCGTGGTGCTGACAACACCAAGTCAAGGGTTAAGATCCCCTTACCATCTTCAAAAAAAAAAAAAAAAATGCAACATGCAGATGACTTTACAATTCAATTCTGAGAAGCCTTGTAAAAGTCAAATGATTACTATTTTATTCAAACTTTGAAAGCACAGAAAATAGAAAACTATCAATTTATTTTTAAGATAGTATAATGATATTCAAATAGCACCAAAATATACACACATACACACAAAAACCTACAGACTGGTCTCACGTAAGAGCAGACAAATAGAAATCTTATGTAAAAACTAGTAAATTAAAGATAGCAAATTATTTAATTTAAAAAAATTTGAGACATAGAGAAAAATCCAAGGGGAAGTAAAATATTGCCCATATACTCACTACTTTAAAAAAAGTATACAAAATAAAAATTCAAAATTTAACCCTCAGCTCTGCCATGCTCACTTCCCTATGATATCTACTTTTAACAGTGTGGTGCATCCTTCCATATCTTTTTCATATTAGTATGTTTACCTGTCAAAAATTTTATTATGCAATTTTTTTCACTTTATCATGGACATCTTTCTAGGCCATTACATTTAGATTTTTTTCCTTCAAATAGCTGCATGGTATTTTACTGTTAATTTATTAAACAATTCTGGTTCTAATATTGTGCTATTAACAGTGCTGTAGTGAAGATGTACATTCTATAGGAGAACATCAGTAATCTGTAGGAGAATTTATTGAGTGGAATTTATGCCTTTTGAACGTTTAGAATGAAACTTTTGGTTAAATGCAAAATTAACTTCTCAAAAGATTATACCAATATATAGTCCCAGCAACAGTGTGTGAATGAATGTTTATCACACCCTGGCTAACACTGTATGTACTTTATCTTCCTATTTTTTTCTTTGAATTAATAATATATATATTGATATGTGAGTGTGTGTGTGTATGTGTGTGTAATTACATATATATTTACGTATATACATATATGTGTATATATATGTGTGTGTGTGTGTGTGTATCTGCTCCTATTTCTTGGCACAGAGCATCTAAAACTCTAGTAATTTCCTGAGTGATAAGGGTTTAGGTGCAACTTTTGTTCCAAAATTTGGTGTTTGACCCTCATTTCTGACATGGACCTCCTAATTCCTTGGAATTTCCTGGTAATAGGATTGTCTTTTGTTATAATGAGGTGACTCTTGTGGGCTCCTGGGTGGGGCTGGTCACCAGGAAGACTAAGATGTGGTTAGAAGCTTGGAACTTTCAGGTTCACCCCCCATCCTCTAGGAAGGGGAGAAGGGCTAGATATGGAGTTAATAAGCGATCATGACTACATGATAAAGCCTTCATAAAAATCCATGAGCTATGGGGTTTGGAAAGCTTCTGGGTTGCTGAACATGTGGAAGTGCTGGGAGACCAGCAAGCCCTGGAGAGGGAATGGGAACTCCACAACCCTTCCCCTATACCTTGCTGTATATCTCTTCATCTGGCTATTCCTTTGTATTCATTATTTTATTCTTTATTAAACCAGTAATAAATTTATATCCTCTATCTAAATATGATATCTTATAATAAACCGATAAATGCAAGTAAATACTATCCTGAGTTCTGTCAGTCCCTCTAGCAAATTAATCAAACCCAAGGAGAAGGTTGTGGTGTCCCTCCCCCACCCAGTATATATACAGCTGCTAGGTCAGAAGCACAGATCACAATCTGGGGCTTTCGATTGGCATCTGACTGGTGATAGTCTTGTGAGAATAAGCCTTTTAGCCCATGGGATCTGTTGCTAACTCCAGGTAGGTGGTGTCAGAATTGATTTAAATTATAGGACACCCAACTGGTATTGCAGAACTGGTCAGTGTGGGAAAAACCACACACACATTTTGAGGACCAGGGGAGAAGTATTCTGTGTTGAGTGTGAATGTAGATGGAAAAACAGTTGTTTTCTCTTATTATACAGTATGTAATTTATTTTTTATTTTTATTGAAACATAATTGATTTTACATATTTGTGGGGAATAGAGTTGAGTATCAATACCTGTGTACAATATGTGATGATCAAATCAGGACAATTAGTATAGGCATCATTACAACATGTAATCGTTCTTTGTGTCCGTTAACCAATTTCTTGCTAACACCTCTCCCCTCCTTTTTTGCCACTTCTAGTAACCAGAATTCTTGCTCTCTCCTTTTGAAAGTTCAATGTATTATTGTAGTAGTTGTTTGTTTGTTTCTTATTTATTTATTTATTTATTAGCTCTCATGAAATGTGGTATTTCTATTTCTGTGCCTGGCTTATTACACTTAACATGATTTTCTCTAAGTTCATCAGTGTTGCTGTGAATGGTAGTATTTCATTCTTTTTTAGAGCAGAGTAGTATTTCATTGTGTAGATATACCACATTTTCCTTATCCACTTGTCCAATGATGGGTGTTTAGGCTGGTTCCAACTCTTAGCTATTGTAAATAGAGCTGCAATAAAAATGGGGATACAGGTATCCTTTCAACATGATGATCTTCATTCCTTTGGGTATATACCCAGAAGTGGGATAGTTGGGTCATATGGCAGTTCTATCTGTAGATGTTTAAAGAATATCCATACCATTTTCCATAATGGCTGCACCATTTTACAGTCCCACCAACAGTGTAGGAGGGTTCCCCTTTCTCCGCATCCTCACCAGCATTTGTTATTCTCTGACTTTTTGGTAATAGCCAGGCTAACCGAGATGAGATGATACTTTGATGTGGTTTTGATTTGCATTTCTCTGATACTTAGTGATGTTGAGCATTATTTCATGAATGTATTAACCATTTGTTTGTCTTCCTTTGAGAAATGTCTATTTAGCATTGCCCATTTTTTTATTTGGATTATTTGCTTTTTTTACTGTGAAGCTGAGTTCCTTGATATCCTAGATATTAATTCCTTGTTGGATGTGTAGTTTGCAAATGTTTTCTCCCATTCTGTAGGTTGTCTTTTCACTCTGATGATTGTTCCATTTTTTGTGCAGGTGGTTTTTAGTTTGATATAATCCCATTTTTTAATTTTTTCTCCTGTTGCCTGTGCTTTTGCAGTCTTATCCAAAAACTCTTTGCCCAGTTTTACATCCTGAAGTGTTTCCCTATGTTTCTTTATAGGAGTTTTCTACTTTCATGACTCAATTTAAATCTTTAATCCATGTTGAGTTGGTTTTTGTATATGGCAAGAAGTATGGTTGTAATTTCATTTTTCTACACATGGATATCCAGTTTTCCAGAACCACCTACTGAAATGTATGTTCTTGCAGCCTTTGCTGAAAATCAGTTGACTGAAAGTATGTAGATTGATTTCTGTGTTCTCTATTCTGTTCCATAGGTCAATGTGTCTATTTTTATGCCAATACCATGCTGTTTTGCTTACTATAGTTTTGTAATATAATTTGAAGTCAGGTAGTGTAATGCCTCTGGCTTTATTTTATTTTATTTTATTTTGGCTCAGGATTGCTTTAGATATTCAGGGTCCTTTGCCGTTCCATATGAAGGTTAGGACTGTTTTTTCTATTTCTGTCATTGATATTTTAATGGGAATTACATTGAATCTGTAGATTTCTTTGGTAGTGTAGACTTTTTTTTTTCCTTTTTTCGTGTCTGGCAACGGACCGCAACCACCAGTGTCACGCCCGTACCGGACCGGGACCGGCAACGGGATCGCAACCCTCGGTGCTGTGCCCGCCCCTCGCTCAGCCAGTGAGCGGGAACCGGTCTGTATGTGGGATCCGAACCCTCAGCGAGAGCGCCGCCACGCTCCCAAGCGGTGCACTGTAGCAGTGCACCACCGGGCCGGCCCCGGTAGTGTAGACATTTTCACAATGTTAGTTCTTCCAATCCGTGAGCATGCAGTGTCTTTCCAAATTTTGTGTCCTCATTAATTTCTTTTAGCAGTGATTTTTAGTTCTCATTGTAGAGATCTTTCACCTCCTTGGTTAAGTTTCTGCCTAGGCATTTTTTTTTTTTTTGGTAGCTATAGCTATTGCAAATGGGCTTGCTTTCTTGATTTCATTTTCTATTACTTCACTGTTGGAGTATAAAAATTCTGCTGATATTTGTGTATTGATTTTGTATCCCACAATTTTACTGAATTAGTTTATCAGATCTAAGAGTTTTTTGGTAGGGTCTGTTGGTTTTTCTACATGTAAGATCATGTTGTCTGCAAACAGAGACAATTTGACTTTGTCTTTTCCAATTTGGATGCTGTCCTGACCCATGGGATAATCAGCGCAGACCCTGGAGGGGGGAGTGGGAAGTGGATGGAACAAGAGACGTGAGAAATGGAGACAAGACAGTATTCTGATCAAGTCTCATTTATTGGTTCAAAAGTTACAGTTTATATAGAGGAGATGCAGGCATAGTGCATAAGCATTGGAATGCAGATCTTTGATAGCATCTCAAGAGAAACAGAGACAGGACTTTCAGATTAATGATTACCACCCAGAAAGTTTATGGTCGGGCGGTCTCTGGAAAAAGAAGAAAAGCCACTTGCGTATCAGCCAGGAGCAAAACAGTTCCTGGCAGAAACAGATTACGAGGCAGCTGTCACATAGCCTCGGCCAAACTGAGGGGTGTGCGGCAAGAAGGCGCCCAACAGGATGCCCTTTATTTTTTTTCTCTTGCCTGATTGCTCTGGCTGGTACTTCCAATACTATGTTGAATAGGAGTGGTGAAAGTGGACATCTTTATCTTGTTCCTGTTCTTAAAGGATAGGATTTCCGCTTTTCCCCATTCA